TGTTTTAACCGTACATTAAAGATGTGAGCCTGGAGGTATGTTTGCATTTTTGCATGGCTGAACACCCTCTTACACTGTATGCATGTGCGTGTATATACAACCACTATGCTGTTCAGCAGAGGATTTTCAAAGCTTAATAAACAAATTTTTGTAGCAAAGCAGTTTCTCAGTTTCGACTTGTATTTTCTGAAAATAAGAATAGCTGCAATACTTTCTCCTTTGATTGCTCTGAATATAAAAAAGATTAATTGATAGAAATGAATGAAAGAAAAGTTAGAGGTCTCAACTTCTATTACAGATTATCTAAAAGTTTTAGTGCAATAAAAATTTGCAAATGCATTAAGAAAACAATATCTTATCCACCAAAACTCTTTCACACTTTTGTTTCAAAATGCAATTTTCTTTTTTTGTAGTTGTTGTTGTTTGTTTATTTTTACCACGAGAAAGAATATTTATGTTTAGCTGCACTTTTTAAAATTGCTATTGCAGTCTAACAATGAAGCTGATCCTCTAAAGTATCTCCCGTGAGGATGATGGGGAAAAAATAAGACTCAAGGTCAAGCCTGAAGACAATTCATGTTATAAAACACTTAAAGGATGAATTGTTTCTTTACGATGTTTTCAGAGACTCTACCAAGATGATCACAATATTGAAAGCGTATAAAGAATACATTATTCCAAGATGGTGCTAGAGGTAAAAAGTAGTAATGAGAAAGAGACACAAGAAAAACCTTGGTGACATCAAAACTTGTTTCTACAAATGGGATCAGTACATTTGGATGCACTATGAATAAATGATTTATACTGTGGGTTATTAGGTTTCATTCAAACTTGATTGTTTCAAATGAAAGAGCTTTAGATGAGATTTTTATTTTATTTTATTTATTTTATTTTATTTTATTTTATTTTATTTTATTTTATTTTATTAATTTATTTTATTTTAATTTATTTTATTTATTATTTTATTTTATTTTATTTTAATTATTTAATTTCATTTCATTTTTTAATATTGTAAATACGTTTCTCAGGGTAATCCTACTGCCTACGACTAATGAGATGAAAAATCCAAAATACTTCCAAGGCAGTTTACCTGGATATTGTCTGCTTTATTAGTTTTAATTGGCATTGTATTGGGTATCATGAATGAAAAGGCACTGCTTTCAATGTAACATATCCAAGAAGCTGACATGTCTCATACTTCTCTCTTCCAGTAGAGACATGCTATGCCTCCAGATGCTGGAGTCTGGATTTAGGGGCATATACTGCTCTTGCACAAATAAGAGTTGCATATGTTATGAGTTAATTCCATTTTGTTGTGTTCTCTTGCACATGGTGTTTTGAAACAGTTAAATGGAAAATATTTTTAGTTTTCCATCTTGTATTGAAATATGCTTGCATTATTAAATAAAATCTAAATCCCTAAGTGATATGGTCTATGGCTGAAATGCACAAATATGTAACATGGACAATATGCCTGCAAGGGAACTGCAGAATTCCAGAGAGTGTCCCCACATGTTGTATTTTGCATGTGTGTCTCAGTCAGCTGCAATGTTTGTCGAATAATATACCTCTTACTTGCTATACAGCTGAGCTTTGCCAAGCCCACAGTGCTAGGCACTAGACACAGTTTTGGAAAACGGGATAAGGAATAAAGGGGTTTCACACTTTTATTATGGGCATCTATTTTAGATGAAATGCATGAGACAGGTACCAATGAAGAGAGAAAGGTGGCTCCTGAGAGTGATTCAATGTGATTCAGTGTCCAATTCATATACTTAGGTGATGCAAAAGCATCTCAAAAACAGTCCCTCAGTGGAACAGTTTATTGAACCCACCCTGAGACCTATCTGTATTGCATCAAAGGCCACATAATGTGATGCCTAATAAAGCATAATGAATACAAATATATTGGAAAGGTTAATTGTAAGAAATAATATATTCACAACATATTGATAAAGCTATTTTTTAATTATATATATATATATATGTAAGTGTGTCAGTTTCCTTAAGGTATTCTGCTTGGACCTTCTTTAAAGATACTGAAGATGTTATCTAATTTTTAAACATCACTAGTGTCATTGGCTCTACCAAACTTAAAATAATTTCCTGCATGTCTTCATATATTTGAAACAAATATGATTTTATCTTTCAGAGACCCCTCTGCAAATTAAGCTCATCTTGGCATGTATTTTTAAGGGAAAGGGAAATCTATCTTTTTTGGGGGGAAGGGGAGTGGGGGTGTCAGATTTATTTTTTATTTTTCCCCTACAATCTGTAATACTAACGTATAAAAGAATCAGCATAAACTAAAATGGTCATTTCAAACAGTTTTTACTTCATATTTGATTTCTCCTATTCAGTATCTATTATTAGCGTGATCTGGCATTAGACATTGACATGTTGCAGCTATGACTAAAAAAGTACATGCAATTTTTAGCTGTTTCCTACAACTAATATTAATTAAGATTCCAATCCTGCAAATGCATCTAGTCAAGCAAATCACCATGAATACAAACAGGACTCTGTGAAAACACAGGAGTACTCCTACATGAAGCTAGTGGAACAAATAGAGCCTGAACTCTTTGGGGCAGTGAATATCTTTCTCTTCTCATTACTCGCTAGTTCAATGTTTGTTCTCCAAGTCTAGAGCTCATCACACTATAAATCATAAGGAAACATACCTGCAGAGTAGGTGACATCATCCCAGCAGCTATTAAAATCTAGATATTTTGTAGTTATTTGTTTTTGGTGCATTCATCTATGCATATATGTCTTTCTCATTCCAGAGCGGAGAAAATTAGAAATACACACACCGAGTAATATTTTCCTCATTAATGTGCAAAAGACGTGATGAAGATTAGTGACTTATCATTCTGTTTACATCCTCTGATGGAAGCAGAATTATGAAATATGCCCCCTGCTGCTGGTCCTGTAAGGGTCTGGTAATGTCAGTCAGGATATGATAAGTATTTCAGGTAATGGTAGGATTTTCTTTTGCTCTGTTTTGGTCTTGGTAAAGTAATCATGCTGTATATCTACCCAGTAAACAGCTATAAGTCTTAGTGTGAAAGATTTGATATGCAAACATTTGAGTGAGCTAGATTTTTTTTTATTCTGGATGATCAAGTATAATCAGCAAAATATTAACTGCACAATGAGAAGTAAGCATTACAAAGCATATACAAGGTGCTCAAAATATACTTAGCCATTCTTCCATCTGTATCCATATTTTTGATGGGGGCTCTAGTAAAATATCTTCTGAATCATTATCAAAATCCACAATGCAATTTGTATCAAATAATATAATGAATAATATGCAAAAAATACAAGCCCTTTTCCCTCTACAATTAGTAATTTTAATAAGAGAATTGACTGAGTATTGTGTCTGATTGTCAAGATCTGAAGAAAACAAAACGGAAAACATATTTTTTCAGGCATCATTGACTTGCCTGTACATGCACTTTGAATTCATTTTTAAATACAAATGAGAGATATGTATAGTTAAGGTACTTTGTACCCTACAAGGATTTTTTTATTTTTATTTTTATTTTATTTTATTTTTTTTAAGTTTGGAGATCTTCAGTGGAGATAATACCAGAAAAAAATGAAACAGTTGATAAATTGCAATATAACGTGCAGATTGGGAAACAAATGGTATTATACAAGAGAGTTCAGTTTGCAAATAAATTATCTATTTAAAAGATGGAAACACACACCAAGGTTTTGAAGATAACTTGCTCTGGGGCTTTTGAGTATCTAATGTGAAATACAAGTTTCCTGTAGTTTAGACTCTAAAACCATTCCTGAAACATCATAGTTCAGGTGTGAAGCCTCAAGTACATTAACCATTTTAATATTTCATCGGTTTACTTAAACTAAATAGAAAGCATAAGATATTTTACTGGTTCGAGTGGGTTGGCAACTGAAATAACTTTTAATGATGTAATGCAAACTTGTAAATCATTTTCAGTGAGGGCCTAGTTCAGCACAACTTTTATGTAATATACTAAATTGCTGGCATAGCTTTAAAATTTGTAATACTTGGAGATCATGAAAATTAGAACAGAATCCATATGTATACAGGAGAAGTAGCTGAAAATATGGATTCAGGCTTAAAGTTTTTATAGATATGTTGTAGTCTTTAAACCAAAAATTGTGTCTGATAAGTGTTAAACCAAGGCACATGTAAACGTTAAAAAGAACGAAATGGAAGTACACCACAGAAATGCAATGTTAAAGTTATGTGGTACGCTTTGTGGTAGTGTAATTTCTCACAAAAACTTTTTATGGTGAAGTATAGGGAAGATACTTCCATACCATAGGTATATGAAAAGTAAATGTGATTATTGACTATTTTAACTAGGCAGGGATATTTTATTCTTGATGAGTCAGTCAAAAAATTATTCATTTTCTGTGCAAGGACTTTCAGTTAAGGCATCCAAGCGTCTTTGAAATGATGCTTAATCCCCTGGCTTTATTATTGCTTATATATGTAGATTTCCATCACAGCACAGGTATGAAAAGAAACAAATCATACTGCTTCCATCGGAGTAAAACAGGGAAATTTTAGGGAGAAAAAATAAAAGAAAAGATGGAAAATAAACATACATCTGTTGTGAATCTGGATTGACTCAGGTTAAATAATGATGCCTGCCTTCATCAAATTGCCATAGAAAAATACGAACTGATCATAATTGCAGTACAATAAAATCTCGTCTTCTTGCTTTGGTATGCTCTTGAGTACAATAAAATATTTGGCTAAAATAAACTGAATTCATATTTGTAAGCTTCCTCTTTGACAGTAAGGAGAATATTCTCAAATGGTGCAAATTGGCATCTTTTTGCTGACTTTAACAAAGTTTGCTGACTTTAACCAAAGTTAGTGGTTTACACCACCATAACAGTGGTCCTCAAATATGACTGTTTGATTTTATTGTACTATGCATATTGCAAATATGCGAACTGCACACTAGAAAGAAATGTTCAAGAATCTTACTTACATTCTGATAAATAGTCAGGGAGATGGTGCTTTTGCCTCCAAAGTGAAATACCGACTACAAAAGTCCTGAAGCAGAGAAATTGTGCGCTGGTTCACTCAGGTCAATTTTATATGATTTCTTTTGCCATAAATCGTAAGTTAAAAAAAAAAAAAAAAAAAAAAAAAAAAAAAAACACAAAGCGAATGCAAATATTAGCCCATATATGAAAATATAAATGATGTTCCAAACTGTGTTGGCTCCAGATGTTTTTATGAGTTAAACGGTTTACTGTTTTCATATTTAAAACATTCTATTTTTTCACTTGATGTTATAAGCTTTGGGCAAACTTGCTGGCATTGATTTAAGTTACGCTTTTGTACCATATGTAGGTCAAACACACATTCTAAAAAGATACAATATGAGCAAGAATCTGATCATTTATATTGGGAGGTAATAGCTGCTTACACTTTATTCAGTAATTATTGCACTGAGAAGCTTCTCACAGAAGCTTTGACTGAAAAATCATACATTTTTACAAAGGATGGTATCATGTAACCATAGTTATTCGATAGCTCCATACAGAAATTTTTTGGATTATTCCAGTTAACGTCTGAAGTTGTTTATTTGCCTCAACATTAGTCGCCTATATTGTTTAAAATGAAAGCATAAAGCTCTGTCGAGATTTGTATTTCCAGTTCTTGCATGCTTAAAAGCGCTTATTGAAGAAGTAATAAGAACACTTGATGCGGAACTTGTGTACTTATTAGGGGACTCAAGAGCCAAAGGAAATACAGTCCCGCATATTCAGATCTAATTATGAAGCTGATGGCAAAGACTTAGTCGTGCCATTGTAACTTCGTTATTGTGTTCTTTTTTTATTTTTATTTTATTTCTTCACCTTTTGGAGCCTCTCCTACCTCTCCCTAAAAAGTTCTATTTGGCTCCGTGTCTTATTTCTCTTGGAAACCTAATCTTTCTCCCTCCCCCTCGCACCCTCTCGCTTTCTTCATTGTGCTTCACTTATTTCACTTTTTTATCCTGCGCGAGAAATCCTGTGCGGCCATCCCCTAGAATTAAAAAAGAAAAAAAGAAAAAAAAAAAAAAAAAAAAAAAAAACGAGAGAGAGAGAGGGAAAAAAAAGAGAGAGAGAGAGAAAAAAAAAAAGGGGGCACGTTTATTCTGCCTTGGGTTTGGGACTTCCCCGGCCCCTTCGCAGCTGTGGCAGTCAGGGCTTCAGCAACGGCTACCCTTGCAGGAGGAGTCCTTGCATTCCTGCCCCCCCGGCCCCGGCCGGTCCCCGGCCCCCCTGACGGCGCCTGGCCCCCGTGTCCGGGGCGGGCGGGCCGACAGCAGCAGGTTGGAGAGCCGCGCCGGGGCGCGCCACGCACGCCGGTCCCCGCGGAGGGGAGCGGACAGGAGCGCAGCGGCCGCCCGGGGGGCCGCGCCCGATGCTCCCGCGCCCACCTGGGGCCACCCCCGCCGGCGGCTGCCCTTATGCCGCCACCGGCGCGGAGACGGGCCAGGGCCGGCAGAGCCGCTGCGGGCGGTGCGTCGGTGGCCGTGCGCCGGTCGTCGCTTCGAGGCACTGCCGGCTGGCCGGGGCACCGCCACCCCTGCGCTCGCATCCCGGCGGGTTCGCAAAAGCAAGGGTAGTTCAGCCATTGAGTTTTCTTTGTACTCCTTGCTTTTAATATTAGAGCACATATTGAAACGATAAACACAATGAAAAGCACAAAATATTTCATCAGTGTTGTAACTGTATATTTCCTTTATTCTGAAGAAATATCAAGTTTTGAACAGTACACAGAGGCAGCAACTTCTGCTTTGGACGCCACTCTCTTTTTAAAGACCGCGTTGTTACAGTTAAAACTAAAGACAATTCTTAAAAAGCATTAGATGTCAGAAAATGGGGGAAAATCTTACCGTCGAAAGACTGCTGCAGGTTCCAGCTCAGTCTGAAACTGCAGGGAAAAGTGGAGCAGCTGCTGAACAAAAGTTTTAGATTTTTTTTTTTAGAAAGTCTGCAAAACTAATTTCCCACAAAATAGGACTCAATTTCCGTTTAAGAAACTAGCTCTTGCAAATCTCATACAATTCCTGATTTTTTCCAATAGCAATTCAAATTCATTTTATCTTTCGCACATGGACCCAAGAATTTGAGCGCAATGGCCTTTTTTTTTTCCCTTTCTTTCTTTTTGTTTCTTTTCTTTTATTTTCTTTTATTTTATTTTATTTTCCTCCTAAGTATGGTTTTCAGGGAGGAGGAGGAAGGTAGAGTGAGAAGGAAGGGCCAAGGACCACAGCGTTTCGGCAGTGGGCACCTCTTTGGTCAGCGATCAAGAAACACGTTATCCTAATTTAAACCAGTTTACAGCCTTCTTCGTGGCTACTGTTAATTCCAATACAAACATGTTAAGAAAAGAAAGATAAACCAAACCCAGGCTCTCTAGGTTGTCCCTCTTGAGACACTAAAGCCCGCAACAAAGCAAATGAAGACACAGCGACGGGAAGTTAGGAGGGCTGCGTTTTTGGACGGGCAGGGGGCAAGAAAGGAGCCTTGTCTTTCTCCGACCACATTTGGCGGCACGTTGAGCGCCGGCTACTTTCTTGCGGCCCCAGCCACAGGGGTCGGCGGCCTGCGGCCCCTATGGTCGGGTGCGGGGGGCGTGCGTGCTGCCGGGGCCGCGCTGCTGGGCCCGGGGGCAGCGCGGGGGCAGCACGGGGGCAGCGCACGGAACCGGCCGCGCTGCGCCCAGGCTCGCCGGGCGCACAGGTGAGGCAGCAGCCAGGCGCCCCGCCTGAACCCCCGGGGAGAAGGGGCCGCGCGAGCCCCGCACTTCGCCCCGAGGGAGGCACCTCAATTCTTTGTCGCTCCCCCCTTCCCGGGGGGGAGGGGAGGGGACACACGCAGTGGCACCCCGGGCGGTGGCCCAGTGGCCCCTCCATCCCTCCTCGCCCCGTGGGGGGCGCGGGCGGCCCCGGGGAGGCCCGTGGGGGCGGCGGGCGGGGGGCGTGCTCCCCGCGGGCTGGGAGGGAGAGGCGGGCTGCGCCCCCGCGGAGCCCCCATAGAGCCGGTCCCCGGCCCCCCCGCCGCTGCCGCGGGCGCCCCGGGCGCGGGTGCGCAGCGCTGCCGCCCGCTGACGGAGCGGCTCGGCGCGGGGACGGCGCTGGCGTTTTGGAGGGAGTTTGCATGTGGTCAGTGCTGTGTTGCTAAGCCAGCCCCCAGCTCACATTACACACTACTGTATTTATAACCTCTCGGAGCCGTTTCCCCCTTCGAGCAGTTCTCTGGGACCACCTTCTATTGGCTTCAACCTCTCCCACTTCTTGACATCTGAGCAGCTCTCAGAAAGGCTCATCTAGGTCCGAGTGTTTATGCAGCGGAGACTGGCCGCTAGGGCTAAAGACCTGGATTATCTGAGCTCAGCTGCCTGCTGCAAAGTCTGTCGTTGCCGTTTTGGAAAAAAAAATCCCAACCCCGATCTGTTTACAGTGAAAGTTGACAAAGGGTGGTGAAGTTGGATCCTTCCTAAACTCTCCTGCCTGGAACCTGAGACTTGCATGCCATGGATCACACACTCTTTGGCTGCCTGCGCAGCCCCCATGCCACTGCGCAGAGCTTGCACCCTTTCTCGCAGTCTTCTCTTGCCCTGCATGGAAGATCTGACCACATGTCCTACCCTGATCTGTCTTCTTCTTCTTCCTCTTGCATAATAGCGGGATACCCCAATGAGGAGGGCATGTTTGCCAGCCAGCATCATAGGGGGCACCACCACCACCACCATCACCACCACCACCACCACCAGCAACAGCAGCACCAGGCTTTGCAGACGAACTGGCACATTCCTCAGATGTCGTCTCCTCCCGCCGCAGCCAGGCACAGCCTCTGCCTTCAGCCCGACTCAGGAGGACCCCCGGAGCTGGGCAGCAGCCCCCCCGTCCTGTGTTCAAACTCTTCCAGCCTGGGCACTAACACCCCCACGGGGGCAGCGTGTGCGCCAGGGGACTATGGCAGGCAGGCTCTGTCCCCGGTGGAAACAGAGAAGAGGGCCGGCAAAAGGAAAAGCGACAGCTCAGGTAACGGCTTACGCTTTCCCCTGCGGGGTGGGCGGCGGGTGTCGGGGGGAGCTGCGCTGCCGGGCCCCGGGTGTCCCGGCTCCGCTCGGCCCGTCTCGGCTCGGCACGGTCCCGGCGGTGCTCTCGCCGACCGGTGCCACCGGGCTGTTGGCTCGCTCCTTCCCTCAACCGCGCTCTCGGGATGTCCATCATGAAAGCGAGCTTTCTTAGGGCTAGGGAGGTACGTGGGGGGGGGAATAAAAAGGAAAAATCCAGCACGTGATAGAGCATGAAACGAAGGTGGCGGTGGTAGGGAGGTTTTCCTACAGTCAAGGAGAGAAGCGGTTGTAATTTTGGTGAGCATTTGAGCATCTGGTTCCGCGCCCCCCTCCTCCTGTCTGATACGCCACCTCTGCTGCAAACTTCGGAGCCTAGTGCTCTCCTTCCCCTCCGCCCCTTCCCCGCCGAGCTGCCGGCAGCTCCGAGGAGATTGCACAACGGTTGGGAACTCTCTGGGAAGCGAGGCTCCCTGACAAGAGTTCGTGCTTCGCTGTCCTGTAGGAGTTGGCTGTGCGCGCTCGGCGTGGAAGGGGCAAACGCTGGGGTCTGTAAAGCAAAGAGGGGAGTTGGAGTTGCAGAAAGCTACTTCACTTCAAGTTTCTGGTGCCGGGGGCGGAGGGAAGGAAGGAACTGTTTGACTTTTAAATAAAACACTGCAATTCTTACTTAAAGATGAGCAGAAGCCGTGTAGACCCTTAATAATTCCGGGGGTGGGGTGGGGGGTGGCAGGGTGGAGGGTATCGGCATCTCTAAGCGTGCAAAAACCTTTCTAAGCATGCAAAAACCTTGATATAATCCCTGCTTCTAAAACAGCAAAGCCTGTCAAAGTCCCGCTCTGACAAAAGACACTCGGTGAAGGCGATGCGATTGATGGCACTTCCGTCAGAACACACATAAGCTGAAGGGTCATCAAAAATATACCGAGACAGGCAGTAGGCACTTGAAAAAGAGAGGACACAACAGTTTGAAAACTCAAGAGCGGGCATAGTGAACCATTTGTTATCAAGGAAGAGAAAGTGAAAGGCTGCTCCAGACAGTTACCAAGTTCACAATCAAAACTGTGACCTTTTTCACTTGAAATGTTGTGAGTTTGGTAAAGTGGTAAGCAATAGAAATTATTTTAAAAATTAACTCTGGAGGATGCTATTGCTTTGATCACTGTCCATTACATTTATAAATATTTACAGTAATTCAGGATGAGCTTAACTGGGTTTTATCTTATGTAGCTGGGCTGAAAACTTCCAAGATTAAAAGCCGTATTTTGTCGAACACTGGTGGCGAGCTCCATCGTTGCATCTTCATTACATTGTCTGAAATAAAATGAACTCTTGGATTTTGTGAGGCATATAAGGAATACTAAAACTTGCATCCCCAGTGCTACTGAAAAGAACTGGATGCCGGTTAGTGTAAGGATTTATTGTATTTATCAGTGTATTTAAAGCTGAAGGAAAAAGAAGGAAATGGGTCCCTTTCACCATCAGGGAAGTATCTGTATGGGTTTCTGTTTATTTTGTTTTGCAATGCAAACCAAAAAAACAGTAGGGAATGTCACAGACCTTACCCTGAAGTAACTGGAGCCTTCCATTGGATTTAGTGGACAAGAGCTGGAGCCTCTAGTCATGATTATGCTTACATTGCACTGTACTATGAACCTCACTTTCTAAGACTTTCTGAAGATCAAGGCAGGTAACTATTGCTTCCTCCCTTCCAGTAAGAAAAAGTATATTATGTCTATTCACACAGTTAGGAATCCCTTGAACTGAAAATAGGCATCTTTTGACAACAACAGGGTAGCTGTAGGATCTTTGTTTTTTCTTCAGGAAAAGACTGAATTTTGGACTGAACATTTAACCCCACCCCTTTACTAATCCTGAACTCTCATGCTAGATATTTAATGTCTTCTTAATGCATAGCAGCAAGAACTAATTTTATGTTACTGCGGTTCTGTATTTGTAGTCAATAATTGCCCCTCGTTTGTCATAAAATCAAACCCTTTATTTCTCACTATTCTGCTTTTTAAACAAATTGTCATATTTTAAAGAATTTCATCGACCCCCTCCTCATTCATAGGCATTTGTATAAAATCCTTAAAGTAAATAACTAAGAAGCAAAGAGAGACTGTTTAAGATTCAGTGCTAGCATTCTGAGACAATTATTAATGCTTCTGCTTATTTACAGATATATTTCCTCTTTTCAAGCATAATCACATAGAGCCACAGAATGTCCAGTGACTTCCTGAGCACTGAATCTCTTCCATATTTCAGAAATGAATTAACCTTAGGCTACCCCTTTCTTGCAGTACTTTGCTTTCACTCCTGAATGTTGATCAGGAATGTTGATTCATAAAACTGAGTTTATGGGTAGTTTAAAGAAAGAGTGAAACACAAATAATACTCGTATCTTTTATCTCCCAAATTAATAATTGTTGGTTAGCCATATAGATACTGTGGATATTTATGTTAAGAGGTGCCCATTTTTGCTTTTTTGTTAGGATGGCGGAAATGTAATCTTTTTAACAATGAAAAAGATTTTGGATGATGGGCTGTGTGTTTGTTTCCGTGCTTGCTCTTTTTTCCTGAAATTCTCATATTGCAGGGAATAGAGATAGAGACACTGTTTGTGCTGCGCTTTGTTATACTTTTTGTTTGTGATCAAGAAAGCAAGGTGAAATGTGCTTTTGTAGTAGCTCTATATAAGCTGTCTGACTTACAGTTTTCTTTTGCTCTAACCCAGGTTTTAATCAGTTTGGGAAGTACCCATTGAAGATATTGAGTAGGCTGAACAGAACAGGGTGAAATTGCCAACTGTTCTTGTTACGAAGGACTGGGAAATGCTGCTTACTTAGCCATCAACTCTGTACACTACAGCTGTCAGTGTCTCCGTGTTTTGTAGTCACTCTCTCATTATCTTGAGGACATTCCTTTCAACCTGCGTAGGCCCAGCAGAGGGTTAGTAAACATGCAGGCGAGCTGCGGAGGGATGCACTCAGATCTGTAGACGTTTGCATTTTGCAGTGAATAATGTCGTCTGCAACCTTGCCTTCCTAATTCAGCTCTCATTATGGCAAGGATGTAGGAGGAAAGAGGCGATAGCAAATCTGAGGATAGGTTGCAAATAAATAAGCTTATTTTAAAATGCACTAATGGTCAGGATTATCTGTGCGCTAATGAGGTGCGGATGAAAACCATGTTGAGTACATAAAAAACATACTTGGAGCGCATTGTTACTTTGTGGTATGCGTTGTTTTTTACAGAATATTTTGGAGTTTTTTAATTTCTCCCCTTCGTATTAGTTGCCCATGACTTTTGAGGACATTCTTTTTTATTTATTTTATAATTTATTTTGTCTAGGTTTTGATTCTCAGATGATACAGAACACATCAGATGCAAAATTAATACTACAATGGTCTCAGTAGGCTTACTTCAGTCCAAGTTTCCTTAAAACTCCACTCAGCAGAAAAGTCCATATAGAAATGTAATCTAAGTTTATGGAGAAATATGAAAAGAAAGTGAATGTGGTAGTCTTAAGGAAGCCTAAAATGCTATGGAAAAAAAAATAGTACTAAGCTGAAAAGATTAGAGAGTGAATGAGTACCATGGCAAGAGTTCTTCTAAGAACTACAGCTATCCAAACATGTATAGATAGATAAGTATATGATAAAAATAAATTTGATTCCAGTAAGTTAAAGTATAATGTAATTGAACACACCCCCATGCACAATTTTATTTATTTATTTATTTAATCAGTTTAACATAGAAAACTATTTCTATATGGCATAGTTTTCCAATGAAAGGCTAGTAGGTAATAATATCTATTCATATGTTTGACTGCTGTATTTACAATAATATCATGTAGAAACACTGCTGTTAAATGTACAAAAACATTTCACGATTCCAGTGTTTCAATAGCTGTTCTGCTGGTTTTTTTTTTTCATTGACAAATCACATGAAAAGTAAACAATACTCTTTTCTCCAGTGTTTTAACATCTTT